AAAGAAAGGGGAGAGGGGGGGAGGGGGGGGGGGGGGGGGGGGGGGGGGGGGGGGGGGGAGGGGGAGGATTAAATAATGAAAAAGGAAGTGAAGGGATGAAAGAAGGAAGAGGGAGAAGGAAAGATAAATGTTTGAGAGGGAAGCAGGGACTTAAGGATGGATCCAAGGAGATTAAATAATGAAGGAGGGACGGACGAGGAGGGAGGAGAGGAGAAGAAAGAGGGTTCAAAAGGAGGAAGAAAAGAGTGAGGGAAGAAGGAGTGAAGAGAGTGATGAGGATGATGAGAAAAAATGACAGAAGAAGTTAGGATGAAGGAGAAGACAGGAAGGAAGGAAGGAAGGACAGAAGGAAGGAAGGAAGGAAGGACAGAAGAAAGGGAGGTGGAGAAAGGCATAAAGGAATAAAGGAAAGGAAGAAGGAATGAAAAAGGAAGGACTGTAGGAAGAAGGGAAGAAAGAATAAAAGAAAGGAAGGACACAAGGAAGAAAAGGAAAGAAGAGAGGAAAGGATGAAAAGGAAAGGACTGTAGGAAGGATGGAGGGAAGGAAAGAAGGAAAAAAGAAATAAAAGAAGGAAGGACAGAATCAGGGAGGAAAGAAGGAAAAGAGGAAGGAAGGAACAACATCCAAAATTAAGGTGTAAGGAAGTGTTTTAGGAAAAGAAGGAAGGATAGAATGAACGAGGGATAAAAAGGATGGAAGGAAGTGAACTGATTGGTTCGTCGCCCCAGTCTCATAACACAGTCTCTCAGCTGGGCGCGAGCTCGGTCAGTGAAGTGAGTCTGGTCACGCGCATCCACATTCTTCAGCACTGAGGTTCAGCTCCAGATCCAGATCCAGATCCAGATCCACACATATACATTGGCACCAGAGCCAGACCCAGGATCAGGACCAGGACTCGCTGTACGCCCAGAGTCAACACCCACCCACCCACCCACCCAAAAAAAAAAAATCAACATCTCTACATCTCCACTAAGGAGCCTTAGGCATCTTTCTTCATCACTTCATGGGATTACTGTAATGCTCTTGCCTGGCGAAGATGCAGCAGGGTGGAGCGTAAGCTCCATATGGTCCTTTGTGACAGACCTACAGCGCGTTCTCCAATCCTCACCGTTCCGACAGCTCCACATGAGAGGTCACGCCGTAATCCCATCTGGACCCGCTGTCCGCCCAGAGTCAACACCCCCCCACCCACCCACCCAAAAAACCCTCCACGGAGCTGCGGAGCACAGACACCTGAGCAGAGGCACCGACATGGAGGGCGCAGGGAACGGCTCGGACTCGTCGTACTGGAGACACTTCCCGATGTTTTTTAACAACAACAACAACCTTATTAACAGCAACAACAACAACGGCAGCGGCAGCGGCAGCTTCTGTGGAAACTTGACCGACGCTGTCAACGCCAGCGGCGGCTTCGCGGAGCTGAGGTGCGACGGTGAGGGGGGATTCGACGGAGGCGACCACGGCGACGCCAACCCGGTCATCATCGCCATCATCATCACCGCCCTCTACTCCATCGTGTGTGCCGTGGGTCTGGTGGGGAACGTGCTGGTCATGTACATCATCCTCAGGTAGGTCGCTGAAGTTGCTGGGAATCAACGACGTGCGCGTGAATGTCTTTTATTCACTCGGTTCACTTCTACTAAACACCAAGTTAGTCCCTGTGCAGAGGGGCCGTCACGTCACTGACACCCGCAGCCTGTTGCTCTGGCTGGGGTGTGTGTGTGTGTGTGTGTGTTGGTGAAGGGCAACAGGTCTCCGCGGGGCCGACAGTCGGAGACAGACTGACGGACGTCAACGGTTCGTGCGTAAAAAGGTCTCGGAGTTCAGAGTGATGATCAACAGAGGGAAGATGAGGATAAAAAAACAAAAAACAAAAACAAAAAAAACAGTAAAATCACTTTGTCAACATGAAAGCTGTGGCTGCGGTTAACCGTTGTGTTCTCAAACCCTGGCTCGCCCACAAAAAGGGACCATGAGATTTTGATAAAGGGTCCAAACATGGTGCCTGTTGTGACCTGGGAAATAAGTTGCAGGCAGATTTGGGATTATTTCTAGAACATCATTCAACCCCTGTGCTACAGTGGTGCAGTGGGGAGACTTTGTACCTACTGTGCAGAAGGGTCTGGGTTCAATCCCACCTATAGTCTTCAGCTGTATTTTGGCTTTGGATATTTCGACTTGTGTATTTCTGGATTCACTCAAAAATATTTTTACACATTTTAGCAACTTCAGCTATGTATTAAAGCCATATATGGGCTAAGATTCAGAATGAAATACATTTTTATTTTAAGACTAAGAAGATAAAAAACGTGATATAAAATAAAACATATTTGAAGAGAATCAAAATGAATGATTTCTGAAAGTCTGACTCCACAGTCTCCAAACATGGTCTGCAAATTCACCTGGGAGGGTGAGGAGGGAGAGGAGGGAGAGGAGGGGGAGGGGGGGGAGGGGGGAGGGGAGGGGGGGGGTGAGGAGAGGGGTGAGGACAGAGACACTTCAGTGCTGATTTAATTTTCTTTTTTTTTTTGGCTCAGATAAAAATTCCTGTGATCTCATTATTACAGTTTTAAACAACTGACATTTATCTGACAGAGCTTGAGCAGGAACACACACTGGTGTGTGTGTGTGTGTGTGTGTGTGTGTGGTCCACAGCAGGCATGCAGTGCGTCAGCAGCCCACTCACTTCAGTCCCTCCTCCTCCTCCTCCTCCTCCTCCTTCAGTTCAACCGTTTTGTTTTGAACTCCATTGTTCTGACTGTTACAGCTTCAGCAGCTACAGCCACCGTACGACTGTAGAACAACACTCTTACGTGTCAGTAACTCAGGACAACATCATCAAACATTAAAAAAACTGCCCCCCCCGACCATGTGTGCCCTCCCCCCCCCTTCCTCTCTGCTGGGAAGTTCATCCTCAGCCATGAC